CTCCAGCACCCAACTTGTGTAGCAATCCCCCTGCTGGAACAGAGGCCATCCAGGTCATGAGAAGTCAAGACATAGTGCGGGCAGAAACCCTCTATTCAACAACTGGTCACTCCAACCAAAGGACCAGAGAGGAAATAGAAACCAAGTAACAAAACATCCATTCAACAAAGACAATCCCAAAAATCAGGACCTAGACCTATAATCGCTCCAAATTCAGATGCCTAAATGTCAATGTAAGAACATAATCAACAGCAGCCAGAGTCCAGCCATCCCACTACAGCAAGCCCTAAATATTCCAACACAGCTGAAGCACAAGAAAACAACCTTAAAACCAAAGTTAGAAGATGATAGAGGTCCTTGAAGAGGAAATGAATAAATCCCTTAGAGTTATGAAGGAAAAGACAATCAAAACATTGGAGGAAAATGGGAGCTCACCAACTCCAGCCAAGCTAGGAAGGAACAAGCGTAGGACCAAACTAGTTCCTCTGAATGCGGTTGACAATTGCATGGCTGGGGCAGACTAAGGGACCACTGGCAGTGGCACCAGGATTTATCCCTACTGCATGTACCGGCTTTCTGAGATCCTATTCTCTTTGGAGGTATACTTTGCTTGGCCTAGATATAGTAGGGAGGGCCTTGGACTTTCCACAAGACAATGTGCCTTACCCTCTCTGAGGATTGGATGGGAGTCGGGTAGGAGCCTTTGTGGAGGGAATGGGAGGAGAGAAGGGAGTGGGAACTTGGGTTGGTATTATTTTTAATCTAATAAATTAAAAATAAAAAAGAATGTCAAGAAAGTTTAAAAAAAGCAGTTGAAGGAAACATTAAAACTGTTCAATGCCTGAAAATGGAAATAAAAGCAATAAAGAAAACACAAACTAGCCGGGCAGTGGTGGTGCACACTTTTAATCCCAGCACTCAAGAGGCAGAGACAGGCAGATCTCTGTGAGTTCAAGGCCAGCCTGATCTGCAAGAGCTAGTTCCAGAATAGGTACCAAAGGAGAAATCTTGTCTCAAAAAACAAACAAAAAAGGAAAAGAAATCACAAACTGAAGGAATTCTAGATATGTATAATCTAGGTAAGAGAATAGGAACTACAGACCAAGCAGAATACAAGGGATGGAAGAGAGAATCTCAGGCATCAAATACACGATAGAAGAAACAGATACTTTGGTCAATAAAAATGTTAAATCTAAAAGATACCTAACACAAAACATCCAGGAAATCTGGGAAACCACAAAAAGATCAAACCTAAGAATGCTAGAAATAGAAGAAGGTTCCAGGTTCAAAAGATCAGAAAATAATTTTTAACAAAACCATAAAAGAAATTTTTCCTAACGTGAAGAAGGAGATGCCTATAAAGGTACAAGAAGCTTACTGAACACGAAATAGATTGCAGCAGAAAATAAAGTCCCATCACCATGTAATAATCAAAACACTAAACACACAGAACAAAAAAGAGGATATTAAAAGCTGCAAGGGGAAAAGAGAAAGTAACATATGAAGGTAGACCTATTAGAATTACACTTGACTTCTCAATGGAGACTCTAAAAGCCAGAAGGACCTGTACAGATGTGCTACAGACTCTAAGCAATCACAAATGACAGTTCAGACTACTATACCCAGCAAAACTTTCAATCACCAGAGATGGAGAAAACAAGACATACCATGATTAAGTTGAATTTGAACAATATTTATCCACAAATCTAGCCCTACAGAAGGTAACAGAAGGAAAACTACAACCCATGTGATGTGGGAAGTCCTTCTGAATATGTGTTGCTTTTATTGGTTAATAAATAAAGAAGCTCCTTGGACTTATTACAGGGTAGAACAGAGCTAGGCGGGGGAAACTAAACTGAATGCTGGGAGAAAGAAGGCAGAGTAAGAGAGAGGCCATGGAACTGCAGCAGGAGACAGACACCGGATGCCAGATGAAAATTTACTGGTAGGCCATAGCCACATGGCGATACACAGATTAATAAAAATGGGTTAATTTAAGATATAAGAGCTAACTAGTAATATGCCTAAGTGATGAGCCAAGCAGTGTTTTAACTAATACAGACTTCTGTGTGATTACTTTGGGAATCTGGGTGGTCAGGAAACAAATGAACAGCCTCTGACTACACCCAGGGAAGTAAACTGACACCCATGAAAACACATGCAATAAGTAATCTCATGCCAACATAACCCAAAGAAAAAACACACCACCAACACCAATACCACCTACAAAAAAAATACCAGAAAGTAATAATCATTGGTCATAGATATCTCTCAATATCAATGGATTCAGTTCCCCAATAAAAAGACAGAGATTAACAGAATGGATGCAAAAACAAGACCTATCCTTCTTCTACATACAAGAAACACATCTCAACATCAAAGACAGACATTACCTCAAACTAAAATGTTGGAAAAAGATTTTCCAAGCATATACCCCAAGAAGCAAGTTAGTGTAACTACTATAATATCTAACTAAATAGACTTCAAACAAAAATTAATGAAATGAGATAGGGAAGGACATTTCATACTCATCAAAGGAAAAATCCTTAATCATCAGGGAAATACAAATTAAAACAACTTTGAGACTCCATTTTATTTTATTTTTAATTTTCGAGACAGGGTTTCTCCGTAGCTTTTGGTTCCTGTCCTGGAACTAGCTCTTGTAGACCAGGCTGGCCTCGAACTCACAGAGATCTGCCTGCCTCTACCTCCCGAGTGCTGGGATTAAAGGCGTGCACCACCACCGCCCAGCGAGACTCCATTTTATACCTGTCAGAATGGCTAAGATAAAAAGAAAAAGTGATAGATAACTCATGCTAGAGAGGAAAATACTCCTCCATCACTGGTGGGAGTGTAAACTTGTATAGCCACTTTGGATAACAATATGGTAGTTTCTCAGAAAATTGGGAATCAATATACCTCAAAACCTAGCTATCACACTCCTGGGCATACACCCAAAAGACACTATATCCTGTCACAAGGACACTTGCTCAACTACGTTCACAGCCACTTTATTCATATTAGCCAGAAACTAGAAACAATCTAAAAGTCTCTTAACTGAAGAATGGACAAAGAAAATGTGGTACATTTTACATTTTACTCAGCTGTTAATATGACATAATGAAATTTGCAGGCAAATAAATAGAACTTGAAAAAAATCCTAAGTGAGGTAGCCCCAACCAAGAAAGACAAAAATGGTATGAACTCACTAATAAGTAGAAATTAACTATAAAGTAAAAGATAATCATGATAAAATCCACAGAGAAGGGAAGCAACAAGCAGGGCTTGAGGATGTGGGGGTGGGGTGGAGAGCAAGAATTTCCCTGAGAAGTGGAAATAAAATGGATTTCGAGGGTAGACTAGGGTAGGTGGGAATGGGAACAGGAGGATCAAGTTGAGGGTGGATAGAGAAGGAAGCGTACTGGAAGAGACAACTACAAAATGGGGGCATTTCAGGATGAGGTAGGAACCTAGTACAATGCAAATTCCCAGGAATCTACAAGGGTAATTCTAGCTAAGACTCCTAGTAACAGGGGATATGTAGCCTAAACCGGCCATCTCCTGTAACCAGGCAAGACTGCCAGTGAAGGGACTGGGACACCAACCCAGCCATATAACCTTTGACCTACAATTTGTCCTTCCTACAAGATGTGCTAGGCTAAAAATGGCACAAAAATTGTGGGAGTGGCCAACCAACGGCCAATACAGCCTGGAACCCATGCCACAAGAAGGAGCCCACCCTGACACTGCCTGAAGTGCCAGGACCCAAAGGATGGATAGCCCAGAGATCTAGGATAGAACAAAACATGACTGTCAAAAAAAAGTCAATGTAATGATGCCTAATGATAATCTGCTGTACTCATAGATTGGTGCCTAGCCTGTCATCAGAGAGGCTTCACCCAGGAACTGATAGAAATAGCTAATGCAGATACCCACAGCCAAACATTAGGCATTGCTCAGGCAATCCTTCGGAAGAGGAAGAAGGACTGTAGGAGTCAGAGGGTCAAGGACATCGCATGAAAACTCACAGAATCAACTAACCTGGACTCACAGGGGCTCATAGAGAATGAACTGGCAACCAGGGAGTCTGCATGGAACTGACATAGGCCCTCTGCATATATGTGACAGTTGTGTAGATTGGTCCTCTTGTGGAACTCATAACAATGGAAACAGGGCTTGTCTCTGACTTCTTTGTGGATTTTGGGGACCCTATTCCTCATACTGGATTTGCCTTGCCTAGCCTTTATACAAGGGGAGGTGCCTAGTCTTACTATAACTTGATATGCCATGTTTGGTTAATATCCCTGGAAGGATTAACCTTTTCTGAATAAAAACATAGGAAAAAAGGGGAGTGAAGAGGGGAAGTTGTATAGAGGGACTGGGAGGAAAGAAGGGAAGGGAAACTGTGGTCAGGATATAACAACAACAGTAACAATAATAATAAAAAACAAACATTAATAATGTTCCTAATTATAACTACTAATTAAAATATATCTTATTTTAGTAAGAGAACATTAATTATAGACTGAACACATAAAATCTAATATATAACATCAGTATTCTAAGCATTCTTATTTAAGTTTACATTTAAATGAAATTTTTAATAGCAACTGAAAATGCTTAGTTAAGCATTATTTTCATCTTCCCATTTTGCATCTTAGCAATAAATTCATATAACTAGACATGTGGTTCCACAGCACTAAAACTATAAATAAATCAATTTAGTTTCTGTCAAATCTTGAAGATAAATGACTAAAAGTATGAACAGGCTTCTTCAAAATAAGCATATAGCTATAACCACATTTGCACTTTCTGTGATTTTTTTGAAAAATCATTTTAATACTGCCTGAGCCTTAGAATATCCTTATACAATTCTGCCAAAAAGATGACTGTAGCTACTATAAAGGATTAAAGATGAAGTAGAAAACAGTTGCCGTGACTGTTACTAATATACAAAGCAAAATACACACTGAGGAACACAATGATAAATTCTCTATTACCTTCACATTAGGCTTCTTCGTTGAAACTCCTCTGTACCAACCTAAAAAGATATTAAAATAATGTTATTGTCATTCTATAAGAGCTATAATATAGTAATTTTAGAAAAGGCAGATGAAAGTGAAATTTTCCTTACTATGCTTTGGCTTCATTAGGATCTACAATGAAATGCTAGTAGTTTACTCAGAAAGGTTTTTATTTTTATTCAGTTTTGTTTTTATGGCAGGTAAGAAATACAGTGCAGACTGTTTCCTGATTCATTCATTCTCTCATGCAGCATATACTGTATTATTCACTTGTGTGTTGGTGGTTGTTGTTTCTGTTCAGTCACTAGAGTCAGTATTGCTACTAGTACAGAGATCACTCTTTCCTTTCGGCATTCATATGCAGCAATACGAACAGAAGGTTCAATTACACAACAGAAGTAGAATTTTCAAGCAAGGGAAATTTTATAGCCATCCTTTCTCAATTCTATTATTTTCAGAGTTTTGCTAAAGTTCATTTGTGTCTGCTAGGAAACAGCATGTAAAAATATAAACCAAGAAAAGTACTTACAAAAGGAAAATAAAAGTGGAGAGTATAAATGAAAGCCAATATTAACTGAGAACTTTTGTTATTGATTTTACATATTGCAATTGAGGGCAATTTCCACGTACTAATCTTCATATCTCACGACAGTGCTATGAAAGGGGGAAACCTCATTTTCTCACATGAAAACAACAGATTACAAAAAAAGAGCAATTCGGCTTTTTTCAGTAACAACAGCTCAGACAATAAATTTCAATAACTAGTTTCACAAACTGAGTCTCAGTTTCTTCATTGATCATTTTAGATAATCTTCAGCACTTGGGAAACAGAGGCAGGCAGATCTCAGTTCCAGGACATCCAAGGCTACACAAAGAAACCCTGTTTCAAAAAACTTTAAAAAAATAAAATAATAATTTTACAATACCTAAGATGAATATATTAAGGTGTCACATGGCAGAATGAGTCTTTTAAAACCTTGAGGATAAATAAATAAATAAATAAATAAATAAATAAATAAATAAAGCCATGAGAATGTTCTAAAGCTACAGTATTCAAAGCTATGGGGTACTGGGGAAAATAGGCAAACAATCTACTAAACAAAAGATAAAATCCATAAACAGACCCACACAAACTTCAACTGACCCTTGACAAAGAAGCAACACCAATACAATAGGAAAAAGATATTTTTTCACAAATGGTGCAAAAACAACTGGTAGCAACTTGGAAAATAAATATATACATTCTCGCTCAGCCCAGTACCCAACTCGGGCAGTGACCCCATCCCCACTCCTCCACCAGAGGCCAACCAGTTTTCAGAGGTCTAGGTAGACCATTGATCAGCAGACCTCCCCCACTCTCTCAGTGCCCCTCCCTACCCTATTCCCAATCCATCCTCTCTTCTTTGTCACTAATTCCCAGGCCCCAATTCAGGCAGAGACCCCCTACTCAACCAGAGGCTACACCAGCCACCAAAAGTCCAGGTAGGCCATCTACCCACAAACTCCCTACTCTCTTAGTGTCTCCCACCTTATCCCCAATCCTCCCACTTCTTCTTGTTACTATGTCCCAGATCCCAACTCAGGCAGAGAGCTCCTGATCCACCAGAGCCCACACTTCTCTGGTCTCAGAAGACCAGAGAAGATACAGAAACTAAGGAATAAAACAGCCATCCAACAAAGACAAACCCAGAAATCAGCAACTAGACCTATAATCACTCAAAATCCAGATGCCTAAACGTCAGTGTAAGAACTCAATCAACAATAGCCAAGGCATTAGTCAACACCAGAGTCCAGCCATCCCACTACAGCAAACCCTGAATATTCCAACACAGCTGAAGCACAAGAAAACAACCTTAAAGACCACCTTTATGTAGATGACAGAGGTTCTTAAAGAGAAAATTTTAAATTCCCTTAAAGATATTGAGGAAAAGACAATCAAAAAATTAGAGGAAATCAATAAATTCCTTAAAGAATGCAAAGAATAAACAAAAAGTTGAAGGAAATGAATAAAACTGTTCAAGACCTGAAAACTAAATACAGGCAATAAAGAAAACACAAACTGAAGGAATTCTGGAAATGAAAATCTAGGCAAGAGAACAGGAACTACAGAAGCAAGTTTCACCAACAGAATACAGGAGATGGAAGAGAGAATCTCAAGCATTGAAGACACAATAGAAGAAATGCATACATCAGTCAAAGAAAATGTTAAATCTAAAAAACTCCTGTTACAAAACATCCAGAAAGTCTAGGACTCTATGAAAAGACCAAATCTAAGAATAACAGGAATAGACGAAGAAGTGTCCCAGCACAAGGGCCAAGAAAATATTTTAACCTAAAGAAGGTATCTATAAAGGTACAAGCAACTTACAGAACATCAAATAAATTGGACCAGAAAAGAAATCCCCCTCGCCACATAACAATCAAAACATTTAACATAAAGATTAATAATGTATAAGGGCAAGCATGGCTCTGGTAGGCCTTGTCCTTCCCCCATTCCCTCTGCCTTGCTAAACTCCATTAGGTCACATTCCTAAAGGTAGTCACCAAGGTCTATTCCTTTATTTGGTCACTTCCTACCTCTAAGGCTGACTACCAAGGTCCAACTATCAAAATACTGAAGTCCAGCAATAAAAAGCCCCCTTTTGGTAACCCTAATTAACCTGTCCAATTAAATATCTCATCCTGACACAGGGTTTCCCCATTTATCTTTATAAACTTATTAGTATTCATGAGAAATAATTGGAATCACATTCTGGGAGAGACATTGGTACTCCATGCTTCTTGACATCACTTTACTGATAATAGCTAAGATGAGGAAGCAACTTAAGCATCCATCCAAATGACTGCATGCAAAAAAAATATGATAAACACATATAATGAAGATTACTTATCCTTTAAAAGAAAAACCCTTGATTGTAAAGCAATACAGATTAATTTTATGGATAATACACTATGCAAAAATAAGTCAGTCACAGAATGACAAATGTTCAATGGTTCTGTTTATATGAGATTCAAAACAGCCAAACTCATAAAAGTAAAAATTAGAAGAGTAGGTATCAAGACAGGGGTAGAAAAGGAAGTTGAAGAATTGCTAGTTAATAAGTGTGGTGGTTTAAACAAGAAACATCCCCCATAGGCTTACGTATTTGAACACCTGGTCCACAGTTCTTGGTGGTATTTGGGGAGGTAGTATAGCTTAATGAAAGAAATATATCACTGTCTCCTCTCTATCCAGAGGCACTCATTTGTCCTTTGAGGGCAAATATCCCTTCCCCCTCCCTTGTTCCTTTTCCCTTTTCCCTCATTCTCTATCTCCTGTCTTTGTCTCTTGTTCCCTGCTCTCTGTCCCTCTGGGACAAATAAATCTCCTTTGTGCTGAGAACTTGGTCTTGGGGTGTTTTGTGCCAATATTGTTCCTTTCATTGATTCCATGACTTATATTTGACCTACAGGATTACCCCTAGCCCAGTTCTTACACATTCAGACCTTCAGGCACTGGCTTTATCTTTCCAATAATGGCTAATTGGCGTGTTTTCCCCTGAACGGCTACGTTCCTACACTCCTGATTAGCATATTCAATTAAGTTTGCTGTGGTTCACAAGCTTTCCTTTAACTTTTGGTGACTATACCACTGGAATTCAGAGCATCCCCCTCAAAAAAAAAAAAAAAATACCTGCCGACAGTCCTGGATTTCTCCTCAGATAATTGTGTCCTTTCTCTTGATGACAAGTCTGGGTAACAACCCTTCCTTCCTAAAGAAACTCCTTATTGGCCTATGGAGATTCATGCAGACACCTTGACTCTAGACCTACACTCACCAGCCTCTACTGATGATGGGAATAGCTTCTTCTACCCAGAAAACTTACACCCAATATTAATGGTAGACTTCAGCACCCAACAATAATTCTGGTACCTGAATGTGTATCTGCTTTCTCTTTTGTCTGCTCCAAGCCCTCTATATAACTCCTACATGCTCTGAACAGTCCACCATTTCATGTCCTATTTAAGACTCCACATAATACAGAAATATTGACTGCCCAGTACTCTATGCCCACCAGCGATGTACCTGCACCCTGACATAGTTCAGAGTCACAACAGCAAAATAGCAAGAAATTGGAAACAACCTGGATGTCCTTCAACCAAAGAATGGATAAAGAAAATGTAGCACATTTACACAATGAAATATTACTCAGTAGTTTAAAAAATGGCATCATGAAATTTACAGGCAAATGGATGGAACTAGAAAAAAAATCATCCTGAGTGAAGTAACCCAGACCCAGAAAGACAAACATGATATGTATTCACTAAATAATAATCATGCTACAATCCACAGACCCAGAGAGGCTAAGTAACGAGGAGGGCTCTAGGGAGGACACATGAATCTACCTTGGAAGGAGAAATAGAACAGATTTTGTGGCTAGACTGGGGGAGGGACCAGGTATTGGAGAATGGATGGAGGGAGAGAGTACAGGGAGAGAGGACTGGAACCGGAGGACATATGCAGGGCAATGGAAACTCCCTGGAATCTACGAGAATGATCCTAGTGAGGATTCCTAGTAACGGAACATATGGAGCCTGAACCATCCATCTTCTGTAACCAGGCAAGGTTTTCTAGTGGAGGAACTGGGAGTCCAACCTAGCCACAAAACCTTTGAGCTACAAGATGTGGTAAGGCAATGGTGGGCCAGAACTTGTGGGAGTGGCCAACCAATGACTAGTATAATTTGAGGGCCATGTCAACCAATGACGGGTCTAATTTCAGGGCCACAAAACAAAAGGCAGTCCATGCCCAGCACTGCCTGCATGACCAAGAACCAGAGGCTAGATAGCCCAGAGACCTAGGACAGAACCAAAGACAACTGGCAAAAAAAAAAAAAAAAAAAAAAAAAAAAAAAAAAAAAAAAAAAAAAAAAAAAAAAAATTAAAATAAATAAATAAGATCAATGAAATGATTCCTAATGATATTCAGCTATACTCGCTGATCAGTGCCTAGTTCAGACATAAGAAAGGCTGCTTC